GATCTCTTATTATTTTGAGCTAGTTAACGATTTTTAAACGAGAGTGAAAAACTAAATTGATCATAAATTATTTTAAAATTTTTATTTTACAACTTTTTCTTCACTATTATTTAGTGTTAACTATTACTAGAGAACATCTTGTCATTTGTGCGTATACCACTTCGTTAAGTACATCTCTCATTCCTATCATTTCTTAACACACAAAAAAATCAGTAACTGAAGAGTCAATAGAAATGTTGATACTCGTGTATCTTTCTCTCTATGTTAATCATCTTTGCTCGATCCTTTTCTATCAGAAATGAAAATTTATTAAATGTATCAATTTATCATAGTCTTTTTTTTTTTTTTTTTTCTATTAAGAATTCATCCGTACATTCGTCAGTCCATTCAGCCCTTAATTTATCGTTGTGATAGTTTAACAGAGACTCCCATATTTCCTAAATTAAAATATGATAAATCTAATTCATTGACATCAACACGATCATCAATATCCTATACATTTGAATCAGTAACAAATAATAGTGATCAAAATTTGTCTATATTAACACCATCAACGACAATAATTCAGTCAGATGATGGTGAAGATGAAATTGATTTATTTCCAGCACCAAATAAAAAAAGTGATTATTTTCAAACATTAAAATTAACAATTGAAGAACAACAACAAACTGAGCAAAAACAAACAAAATCGAGCAGTAGCTAGTCAGAATGAACAATTATATATATATATATACATTTGATAATTTAATTTTCTTTTGTTGTGAACAAATTACCTTTTTTTATTTACTTAAAATTTTTTGACGGTGATTTTCAACTTTTATTCTTTTTTTTTTTTCTTTTTTTAATCGATTTAATCAAGTGAACAGTGCCATTTGTCTATTTATGTATTCATTTTTCTTTGTCGGTTTATGTGCAATAATAATTTTGTTATTTGTATTAGTGTAACCAGATTTATTGGAATAAATACAATTGCGTGTTAAAATTTGTACGATATATTTACACAAATAAATATCAATTATTTTTCTTTTACAGTGTATTTCTTTTTAAATGTCACTTTTGAACTTTTTTATCTTTCAGCTTTTTATGTTTTTAGATATATATTTTTAAAAATGAGTTTATCATCAGGCGATATGAATTCACCGAAGCTCGATAATGCTCAACGTCAACAAATAATGTCTACTGTACAACAACAATTGGCAATTCAAAATGCTCAAGAACTTCTTCAAGTAGATTTTTTTTTATTCTATCACATTGAATCTTTTGTTCCATTTCATATTAAATTATTTTCTTATTTAGAAATTATCGGATAAATGTTTTAAAATGTGCATATCAAAACCGGGTAGTAATTTATCAAATTCTGAACAGGTAATTTAGAGAGAAGTTTAATATTGAATTTTTTCTCTATTATTTTATCAGTTTTTTAAATTTATTTAGAAATGTATTAGTTTGTGTATGGATCGTTACATGGATGCATGGAATATTGTTAGTAGAACATACGCTGAAAGGATAAAACGAGAACAAAATCGAATGTAAACTTTTTGTTTGACTAATATTTGTTTAGGCCTCATTTTCTTTTTCTTTTGTTTGTTAGGATGATATTTTTTTTTTTTTTTTATATACCAACTTTTTTTGTATCTGAAGTATTTCACAATAAAATGTAGACAAAAATATATCATTTTCTTGTCAAGTTGTGCAACAGTATGATAGGAGAGTAATAAATAGATGCAAGTAAAACAGACAGTGTCTTACTTTAGTATATCTCTTTTTGAGTACATTTAGTATTTGTTTTATTTTAGATGGCTAAACTATATAAAAATCATAAACCACCAACGTCTCCAATTCTCTCGTCAACAAGTTTAGTACAATCACTTGAAGTTCATTCAACAACAACAACAACACAAATATCTCCAAATAATAGACGTCATTCTCCAAGAGAAACGACATTACGTAAAATTAAAAGTGAATTTGATGAAATAACTGTTGAAGATGATGATGAAAATGATCATAAAACTTTATCTCGAAAACGTTCTCGTAAATTTGATAATATAATCGGTATAACTACGCGTCAAACACGTACAAAAATAAAAAATGAAATATTGAATACAAACAATATTGTTGATGATGAAGAAGAAGAAAATGAACGTTATCAACATTGTGAACATTGTCCACTTCTTTATCAATTATCACCGGAACAACGTCAACCATCGACGACAACAATATCAAAAAAAGTAGCTAAAGAACAAAAATGTAATTGGGATAAATGTAAACGTGGTCTTATTCATGGTTCATTATTTGAACATTTAATGGAACATGTACAAGAACAAAAAAATAAACACAAAGAACAACAATGTTTATGGGTAGGATGTAAAGGTAAACTGTAGCAATTAGTGACTTGTTCCTAAAAATTTCGAGGAAGTGTTTAGAATTCGGGGTATTGACACTGTTCATCAGATTTTTGGAACTTCTGTTCTAGTAAAAATTTAACAAACCGTTTTTTTTTTAATACAACAAATATCACGATCGTCTTGGACTTATTTAATCTGATAGATTGAACGAGAAATCATCCTATGTTGACTAAAAACAATTGAAAACTCTGACAGTATTGATCGTTTACATTGTACAATTGTTTTCATTTTTACAGTGATAGAATAAACGATTAAAATCTTTATAAAAATGCTCATCTTTCATTCTAGTGTTCAGAACACCGTCAAAATGTGCAAATTATTTGGAAAAACATATTCATAAACATACGAATGAAAAACCTTATCGTTGTGTATTTGATAATTGTTTTGAACAATTTACTACACAGAATGCAGTTGAACGACATGTTCAAACACATTTAAAAGAAGCTGATGAATCAGCATTAATGAATTCTGGTGGTGATACTGATTCAATTTTTACCACAATTAATGGTGGTAATAATTTTGGAATAAACATTGATAATTATTGTGGTGATAATGGAGTCATTAGTCAACAACATCAACAAACAGTATTCAATAGTACAATAAGTAGTAATAGTCAAAATGGTAATTCATCAAATAATACCGCAACAAATAATAAACTTGTTTTAATGCAACAACAAACAAAAATAAATCGAAAACGAAAAGCGGCCAAAGTAAATGGTGTACCAATAACTTATGCATCAAATCATGATTGTTTTACGGATAGTGAAACATTTCATTTAAATCGTTTATTTGAATCTTGTCCATATATATCCATAGAAAATGAAGATCCAACAATTATATTAGAACCAAATGTAAATTGATCTTATTTTATTTAAAATATTATTGTTTCTATTTATTTTTACATTTTAGATTACTATTAAACGTCAAATTGGTGATATCTTCGAAAATTTTGTCGAATGGAAACCGGAAGGAATGTATGTAGGACTTGTTGTTTTTTTTTTATTTTATAACTCTTTCGTTCATATAGATATCAAGGTGAATGGACACGAGCATCTCATATTGAAAATAAAAAAATTTTTATTCAAGAGTTAAATAGTGAACAATTAAATTCTTTACTTCCACCGGTGTATTGTTATCGACCACAACCACATCGTCGAAAACGATTATCAACAAAAACAATGACAAATATCTAATAAATATGTTCGTATTTTACACATCCTCCGTTTTTCATATTTTTATTGTATGATTTTTAACGAGGCAACTGTGTAATATTCGTGCATATTTATCCATTGTATATAATTTCATCTGTTTTTTTTTCTCTCATAGATATTTTTGTACTTAGAGTTAGGAAAAAAGCTATTTTTGTTGACAATTATTTGTTGTTGTTGTCCTTTTCTATTTTTTATGACTGTGTACTTCTCGGTTTTTGTTAATTATTGCTGAAATGATTCTTTTTTTTTTATACAGAAAAATATAGGCTAATTCAATTGTACAATTTCTTTGTTTGAATAAGAGCTTGTTGGATTTTCATTGCAATGAGACGATTTGAATCCGTGAATTCTTTCCTCTTATAATTAGAAAATTTGGACGATAGATATAGTTTTGATTGTTAGAGATTATAGTTCAGTCACAATCTTCTAATGATATATTTTTCATATGACATTAACTGAAAGTACAAGATATATAAAATGTATGTCATAGTGAGAAATCATGACAGTGAGGGTTTATCATATATGTTCTGGATCAGAAAAATATACATTTTGTATATTTCTGTGTATTCATCGCTTTTTTGAAATGTTTTAATGAATAACGGACATGAACGATAATAATCAATGTCCAATCTAATTAAACACTGATAGCAATGAGAATGAGGAATTGAATATTTCTAGCGAATCTATAATAAAAGATTGATTCTTATCGACAATTACATCTGACGTAAATAGGAAAAATCAATTATTTGTATGACAATTTTATTTATATATAGAGAGAAATTTTTTACATCAAAGCGACTCAAGCAATTTTAAAATCTGATATAATGAAATCGAGATATAATCATACATATAACATTGATTACATACAGAAATGAGAACATCTTTGTAAAATACTTGATTTAAACATTGTGACATATATTCATGTCATCTGGAACAATGATTATTGATAAAAATTTGTGACTATGTCAAAACTGTCATCTATTCACAAGATTAATATCAATAATTACCAAAAATGAGAAATAGAAATAAAAAGATTATCGTTCTTATATATACGATAATGTACTAATTTCTAGTTGGAGTCTGTACACGTTTTGTCTTTTTAATTTATAGAAAGATTATTATTGGTTTTTTTTACCTAAAAAAAGAAATAATCGTATGTTAATTTATTAGAATCTTCATTGAAGAGCTAATAGGATGTTAACTACTTTACTGACTAGTTTTATAGTAATATTTTGTCTCTTTAATCAACCAACAGCATCTAGTGAACAAAAATATAATTTTTTACAGACATTAAATACGATTCTAGAGGAACGTTAAAAATATGGCAACAACAAAGAAAAAAACAAAATTTGTTAATTTATTCAGTAATGAAGGACAGGCAAAAATGACAATGAAGTTACCTGGTATGTATGTATTAATTATCAATTATCCATATAAGAAATTATCTATTATTTTATTTTGATAAGGTCGAAATTCATGTGAATGTCAAGCATCAAAACATAAACTTGTTGGCAATTGTCTCAAATGTGGACGTGTTGTTTGTGAACAAGAAGGTCAATAATTAGAAAAAATTATTAAAGTCAAAATAAATTCTAATTGTTAAATTTGTTTAGGTTCTGGTCCATGTTTCTATTGTGGTAATTTAGTACGTAGTTTTCTGTTTTCTGTTAACAAATCAAATTTATTTTCTTTACATTATTTAGGTATGTAATCGTGATGAAAAACAAAAAATTCAATCAAATACAGTTGAAGGTAATACATTAAAAAATGAATTAATGAATCGAAAATGGCGTGAACAAGATCAACAAACAAGTAATATATTAGATGATCAAGAATTTTCATTAAATGATATTGCAAAAGCTGTTGCACATAAAAATAAATTAATTGAATTTGATCGTACTAGGTTAGTTAAAATTGAAATAAATATTTTTTTAACATTCAAATAGATGAAATTTACTTCTTTGAATAGTGCACAGCGTACACGAGTAATCGATGATGCTGCCGATTATTTTGATAGTAATAACAAATGGCTTAGTTCAGAACAACGTTCAAAATTAATAGTAATTAATTGATATTTAACTTTTTCTAATCAAATATATGCTTCTTTTTTTGATTTTCTTTTCTTTTCTTTTTTTTTTATAGAAACTTGAAAAACAAATTCAAGAAAAAAAACAATCATCAAATAAAAAGTTTACAATTGATTTTGCTGGTCGTCGTATTATTAATGAATTAGAATATCCAAATGATGATATGTACGTTTAGTTGATGTTAGCTAGAAGACTGGACGAAATATCTCACTGCTCTTTTTTTTGTTTATTATTAGATATAACGAGGCAAGGTCCGTTCAAGAAAATGCTCACTATAAATTAAAAGCGGATAGAGAAATGGAAGAACAACAACAGCTAGAACTATTAAAAATGATTGATTGGGAAGAACATGAGATATTAAATAGAAATTTACCAGGAAATTTTACAGCACCACAAGTAACATTCGAACTGATTGTTAATTTAATCAAAAATTAATGTTATGTTGTTTTTTCTATTGTTAGTGGGTTGAAAAAAATCCTAAAACAGTGAGTGTATGTTCTAATGTTAGTGTAGAGGATAGAGATCGTCAACGTTTAAGAATACAAGATAAAGATTTAATGGAAATGTATGATGATGGTCAATGTTTGACAATGCATCAACCGTGGGCTTCACTATTAGTTCGTGGAATTAAAATGTAAAATATATGAGAAAAAAGATTGATTTTATACTTTTTTAACATATTTCTTCATAGGCATGAAGGTCGAACATGGCATACGGCACATCGTGGACGATTGTGGATTCATGCAGCAGCAAAAGAACCCGACACACAAACCATTTATGATATGGAAACATTCTATCGACAGAGAGAAAATGGTAAAAATGAAAATTATCTTATTATTACATTTAATTATTCTAAAATCGTATATAGGTGATCAAATTGATTTTCCCAGTGAATATCCGACAAGTATGCTGTTAGGCTGTGTGGAATTAGTTGATTGTCTAGAACGAGACACTTATACTGAAAAGGTAAGAATGATTGTAGTACGTGAGTGTGAGAAATATCTAATATTTTTGGTGATTTAGTTTCCAAAGGGCGAATCCGATTCTGATTATGTATTTATTTGTAAAAATCCACAAGAATTATTCTTCAAATTACCAATGAAAGGACAACACAAAATTTGTAAGTTTTGTAGTTACTCTTTGATAATAATGTTTAATATATTTTTGTTTCTCTCTCTAGTTAAACTCGATCCACAAGTTCATCAAACAGCTAAGAAAGTTTTACTAAGGCGGACTGCAAATACGGCTTAACTTTCTTTTTCTATGTTTTTTTCCATCGCTGTCATACTTGTTATAATTTTATTGATTAATTGTTAATAAAAGTTATCGGTAAAACTATTAATTTTAGTCATATAATTGAAGATAATTTCAGATGAATTCTATATTTTTTTAGCAAGGTTAAAAGCGACTAGTTATGTATTTATTCGTCTTCAGATAATTTCTTTATGTCTGATTCTATAGAATATTTATGCAGTGTAGACAGAAGGCAAGAAAAAAGAAATAAAGTAGCCACCACAACTTGAGATAAATATATGGCTCCTTGTAAGTTCCAGTAACGTTATTAGACAGGATTATTTCTAAAATCAATGAATAAACAGCAACGAACTAACCACTTAAATGAATCCTAGTTCATGTTACACATTGGGTGAAGAAATCTTTCTCTTCATCCACGTTCACATGCACGTCTCATCTTGAAAGTTTAATTTGTGTGCAAAGTGTTTTTAAAAATAACATGCCAATAAGATCGCAAAAAAAATCAAAGCGAAATGAGATGCGGCCTACGTGTGACCGTGGTAAGTAACCAGCGGCGAAATATTGTCGATGATATTTCTTTGCTCATCGAAGTACCACTATGTCATCGAACATGACGATCACAGGATGCGGACGGTTAAGCGTTTTAAGGAATTAACCCAAAGAAGTTCGACTTATCAGTGGTGGAGATAGATCAATGGGGAAACAGCTGATTGAAATTAGTTCAAAATCGGTCGAAAATCACCCAAAATCAATTGATTTTCAGTGATTCTCTGTGATTTCCAATGATTTCCAGTAATTTCCGGTGACTTTTCATTTGGTGAAAATCATCCTTCTTGAGATAGATATGCACAAATAACTCTAATTACCTAGCAATATGTTAACGAAATATAGCACAAGAAGATACTTCGTGAAAAAAAATCGATTAACGAGTCCGTTGATTATGAAGAAGAAACGCCGCATCAACTTTCGATCGACTTTACTTGCAAAAGAAAGATTTTACAATAGAAGTTTATGTAGTAAAAGTGGTCATAGATGTAGAGCATGACAATAATCGTAACAGAGGATAATATTATTATGAGTATAGTACATGTACTATACTCATCAAAACTATTATGATCTAATCACCCACGTACAGGAATTTAAGTGTTGATAAGTGAGTTATATTGGTAATGTTTCCGCATAAAAATTGTATGATCTGTACATATCACAAGTGACTTTTTTGAACGCAAGAAATATCCTTTTCTGCAGAAATATGCAGAAAAGTGAAAAATAAGTGTGATAAATTGTTACATGGACACTGCCACTTCGTTCCTTTTCGATAAAATTATTTCTTTCTGTTGAACAATGGGTGTGCTGGCATCAATGTACTATTACAATTTTCTGAACAACGATATTGGCGATATATATCTACCATCATTCATCACTGGTTTAGTTCAACAGATTTTCAGTACCAACCATTTGAATAGAATGAATATCTTGCAGATGATATTACAATAAATATTTTGAGCAGAGCAAAATGGAATCTTTCGAACGCTATTGTTAATTGTGTTTAGATGATCCTCCAGCTTAACTCCAAAGTGACAAAGGATGTGTATAATTTGAATGATACAGACGACTACATTTTATAAAAATAATCAGAAATCTATTGATGGTATGAAGAATTCAACTTTCAATTCATCATTTGGATTGTGGTTACAACCCCACATCTCGACATAAATTTGTATTGTTCTTTCGACTAGGAAACCAGAGGGACAACTAAAATTTTTGTACTTCTGAGTTGTCTCTTAGAGAGCTACGAAAAATAGTTGAACCTACGTGAGTCGAACAGTTTCTTGTTGGGCGTCAAATTTTTGCATTCAATGCCATTATCTCTTTCATAATTATTCCTTTTCGCGACTTGACTTTGCAGAAATACATAGTTTCGAAACAGATGCTTCTTTGGGTGCACAAATCAAGAACAGGTTTTCGCATTGAAATTCAATGACAGATTCACTCAAATTCAAATAGAACTTAAGATGCCAATATTTCGCGACAATACTTTGCACTCGTCATGCTACTTGAAAAGTAAAAAGTTTTCAAAAGTCCTTAGAGAAATCTAATTTTTCAATGATGGTTTTATTATCCAAGAACAGATAGACAAAAAGAAAAAGTAGATT